TAAAATTAATGAGAAAGCCACTAAATAAGAAAGCTTTCAATCTAATTCCTTAATTAGTTTTTGTCATATGTTCTCAGGAAAGGCCTAAAAAAGTCAGAAAAGCGTAAAACCCAAAGGTGTAAAAGTGAGGAACACAAAATAAAAAGTCTGCTCGCCTCCTCTGCTGCTTTATTTAACAATTTTGCAAGATCAAAATTGAATACAATTTTAATTCAAATATCTTTTAAAAAAATAAAAATTTCTTTTATAATATATGATATTTTCTTTTCTGATTCTTTTTAAAAACCATTATGAATTAATTTTTCTAATATTATATTTTGATAATTTTAATTAATAAAGTTTGCTACAAATTTCTCACATATTTCTTTAATCTTCAGAATAAGAATAGGTTTTATCTAATGAACCAGTTTTTAATATTATTAAATATATATCAGTATTACTAATTTCATTACTATAGTTAAAGATAAGGCTATTATTCACAAGTATATTTTAAATACTTTTTTTAAAATCATTGATAATTGTTCTATAATTTTTAACTTATCACTTATAACTTGACTTATTAAAGGATTTTTCCAAGTTAATTTGTGAATCGATAAATTATCCATAGTCAAATATAAATGTTGATAAAGAGGTGTGAATTCTTTTTTAAGTTTATTCTTCAACACATCTATATTCTTTTTAATCTGATCTGAATCAAAAAGTACTTCTTTATCTATTTTGATTACTCCCATATCATACAAATTATTAACTCCTTCAAAGGTATTATTAAACTAATAAAATATATAGTATGTTAGATTTCAGAAATATAAAAATTTTCATTATTAAAATAATACAAAATTATTAGTACATGTACAAAGTTTATATTTTGTGTGACCATCATGTAGATAAAATTTTGTATGATATTAATTAATTAAATAATAACTTATATCTTAAATATTTTCTCAATATAGTAATAGATTTTTCTCATAACAGGTCTCATGAAATAAAAATACTATTGCATCTAATAGAATGCTATATTTTGTATAACAGACTATAGTTTAAACATTCCTCCATTGTGAATAAGTATCTATCAACAAGTGAACTAAATAGAATAAGTAAATATAAGTTAACAAATTAACTTGTAATTTATTTATTTGACATTTGTATTATAAATGAAATTACACAATATCATCATATAAAAAATATTAAAAATAAGATTCAATTTATTGTTTTGTAATAAATTTTATATAAATTAACCTGAAGTAAGATTCAGAAAATTTGTAATTAGTATGAAGTTCCATCTATAAATACATTACTAGCTGAATTTACAGCTTGTTTTACAATTTCTTTCAATTCATTCTGTTCGATCTATTGATCTTTTTTCATTCCAAGATATACAACCGATATCATATTTATTTTTTTATCTTCAGTGATTATTAAAAATTTGTAATTTTGTTATATAATTTAGTAGACATTATATATGTAAATTTGTAATAAGAAAAATATTAGTTTTATTATATAATAAAAATAATATTGTAACTGAATTTCTAATAGTATTACTATACTTTCCTTTTAACATTTCTTATTATTTCCTTTTTAATATCTTAACTTATAGATTAAAAAAGAAGTCAGTATATATACAAGAATATAGATGTATACCCATAATTAGTTATTTAAATATGGATAAAGAAGTTCATAATACTTTCCTTTTACTGAAGAATAGATTAGGAAAAAAAATAACATAAGCACAAGAACAAAGAATATATGTATATCTCGAGTTAATTATTCAAATCAAGTTATCAATATTCTTATTTGTAAAAAGTATAATATAGTACTTTAGTTCTGCGATAAATATAAATAAAGACCAATGAGAGTAAAAGAAATGATGTTATATTTTGAAAAGTAGAAATAAGTTTTCACACAGATATGCAGAATGTAAGGGGCAGTATTGTTAAATTTGTATGTCCCCAGCTTTTTTAACTGTCTTTGTGTTTCATATTTCACTGTCCCTACCTTTAACTAACTTATAAATATATATAAAAATCAATTTCAAACAATTTTAATTAATAGTCCAAAGCAAATTTTTAAATAAAATTTTGTGAATTTACATTTTAAAAAAAAATAAGTTTTGTTCCAATATTATTCCAAAGGTATCCCTTGACAACACTGGTAAGGGGTACTAATTAAATTTAGTAATCAGTGTATTGCATAATCAGATAGTGTATGTAAATTTCTATTATATTTGAATTCCTTCTATAACACATATCACATGATACCCCGAATATTAATCTAACACGAATTTCTATATATAATGATCCTAATTAATTATGTAATTATGTCGCGTAGAGCACTTGTTTCCATTCTGAGATGGTTAATCTTTAACAATTTTCAGTACCAATCAGACTTTTCGGATATCGAATGCAAGGAGAGGAGGACTTTTTTAGAAGAGGTACCTTTTGTTTTTACCTTGTAATCTGTGTGTTTGAGAAATGTATTTACTTTTTTTTTCTCGATTTATACTCCTTCCTTTTCACAATTCAAGAAGGAGTCAAAGAAATATTTGAAACTTGGTAAATCAGGAAAAATCTGGAAAACTTATTTTCGTCCCTTTAAAATTTGTGCAAATGATTATGGTAAGAGTTGAACCATTTTGTATTTTCGCAACTTTTCACTTAGAATGATAATTTGGTACTTTCTCAATAGACTATTATAAAATACACCACGATTTTTTAGAAGAGATATCTATTATCAAAGACACTGCCAAAATTTCACAAGATAATCTTCTTCAACGTATGATCGTAGGTTTTTCGCATCAAAGTTGTGTCATCGAAGGGAATTCATTAGGAAGTACAGAATCACAATCAATTTGAAAAAAAATGAATCAAAATTACAACATTGATAATTTGCTGGAACTAAAGCTTCCCATAGGCCGAGTTGAGCTGAGCCTCATAAAGCTCAGGCCGAGCTGAGCCCAAAAGTCTTAGGCTCGGCTCGAGCCTGAGTTTATAATTATACATGTCGTCAAAACTATTAAATTGAGTCAGACGCAATTAAAATTAGGAAAAATTGGAATTGAGTCAGACGCAATTAAAATTAGGAAAAATTGGAATTGAGTTAAAGAGCCCTTTTTTTTAACAATGACGCAAGACGCAACTATTGACGCAAGACGCAATTATTGATGCATGATGCAATTGTTGATGCAAGACGCAATTATTGACGCAATTATTGACGCAAGACGCAATTATTTATATAGACGCAATAGGTTTTCATAGGTCACAAAGGATCTATAAACTTTT